CGAAAACCAGGAGCCTCTTCTGGATTTCCCACGCAGGTACAGGGTCCAAGGCTTTGGGCTGTCCTTGACTACCTTCCCAGACCACAAGCAGGGAGCTGGATGGGAAGTGAAGCTGCCAGGATTAGAACAGGTGCTCATATGGGATCCCAGTGAGGGCTTTAACCACTACGCTATCATGCCAGACCCATGGATGTCTTATAAAGACACGAGCAAGGGCCCAGCTTCATAGCCTAGTGGCTGAAGTCCTCGCCTTGAGTGCCGGGATCCCATATGGACACTGGATCTAATTCCAGCAACCCCCACTTCCTATCCAGCTCCTTGCTTGTGGCCTAGAAAAGCATTTGAAGACAGCCCAAAGCCTTGGGACCTTGCACCCATGTGGGAGACCTGGAAGAAGCTCCTGGCTACTGACTTCAGATCAGCTTAACTCTGGCCATTGTGGCCCCTTGGGGTGTGCAGCATTGGACAAAGATCTTCTTCTTTGTCTCTCCTCCTCTCCGTATATCTACCTTTCCAATAAAAATAAAATAAAACCTTTTAAAAAAGGGAGAAATAAGCAAAAATAATGAAAGATATTTAATCATTTATTCTGTAATATAAAGGAAATCTTTCAATATAAAAACAACTGCCTATGAAAAGATGGGTTTTGTTTTTCTTACTCCCTTTATGCTTCGCTGCCTTTTACATAAAAATCAAAAAACAGAACTAGAACTACTTTATGAACCAGAAACTCAACCACTAGATACATATATCTGAAGGAAATTAAAACAGTGCTAAAGGGTTATCTATGTTTGCACTTTTATGAAACCATTATTCACAGTAGTTAAGCTACAGAAATAACCTTGGAGCCCAACAGTGTTTTAATGGATATATGACAAATACTACAAAGCTTGTTTTTATTTGGATGTGAATTAATTAGGCACAGTCCTTGAAGTAAAATACATTAGTAGCGTATTGCTAGGTTTCTTTATTCCTTGTGACAGCATTGTTTTCTGTTGTTGTTTGTATCTGCCTAATGCTACTGGCTAAGATATCCAGGACTGTATTGAATAGCCCTGGTACGAGTGGGCATCCCTGTCTGATTGCAGATCTTAGTGGATATGCCTCCAACTTTTCCTTTTTCCATATGATGCTGACATTGAGTTTTTCATTTGTTGCTTTGATTGTGTTGAGGAATGATCTTCCTGTACCCAGTTTGCTGAAGATTTTTTATCATGAAAGGGTGTTTTATTTCATCAGTGCTTTTTTTGCATCTATTGAGATAATCATATGGTTTTTATTCTTCAACTTGTTAATGTGATATATCACATTTATTAATTTGCATATTCTGAACCATGTATAACAGAGATGAATCCCATTTGGTCCAGGTAAATGATTTTTTCTAATGTGTTGTTAGATTGTATGAGCTAATATTTTGTTAAGGGTTTTTGCAGCTATATTCATTGAAGGCATTGGTCTACCATTCTCTTTCTTTGTCTTACATTGTTCTGGTTTGAGGTATAAGGTGATGTTTACCCTCATAGAAGTTTGAGAGGAATGCATCTGTTTCTGTTGGTTTGAATAAATTTGAAAGAATTGAAATTAGTTCTTGACAGGTTTGGTAGTAGCCTAATTGATCTCCTTAGATTTTCGATTTCCTCATGACTCAGTTTCAATAGATGGAATATGTCCATCTTTATGTTTCCTCTACATACTCCATTTTTGTGTATATTTATAGTAATTTAAGATGATTACTACTTATTTCTATCAACTCTTGATGATTTTCTTATTTTTAAAAAATATTTATTTCTATTGGAAAGGCAGATTTGCAGAGACAAGGAGAGATAGAGAGAAAGATCTTCCATCTGCTGGCTCACTCCCGAAGTGGTCACAATGGTGGGAGCTAAGTGATCTGAAGCCAGGAGCCAGGAGCTTCTTCCAGGTCTCCCACATGGGTGTAGGGTCTCAAGACTTGGGGCTGTCCTCAGCTGCTTTTCCAGGCTACAGGCAAAGAGCTGGATGGGAAGTGGAGCAGTTAGGACATGAACCAACACTCAAATGGGATGCTGGCATTTGCAGCCTATTAGCCTATTCCTTCCAGCCCTTCCTCACCAATGATTATTTGTATATCTGTGATGTCCTTTGTTATATTTCTCTTTTCATCTCCAATGTTATTGATTCGGGTCCTCTCTCTTTGGTTACTTTGGTTAATTTTTTCTTTTTAAATTTTTTTCAATTATTTTTGACTTTGGTTAATCTTTTCAAAGAACAAACTGATGGATTCATCCTCTATCTTTTTTTTAGTTTCAGTTTTGTTTATCTACTTTTGATTATTTCTTTCTGCTAATTTACGTTTGGTTTGCTTTTTTTTTTTTCTTTTTTTAGATCCTTGAGAAACATTAATAGGTTGTTTATCTGGGTGCAAGTAATGCCGACACTACTTGCTATGAACCTGGTTCTTTTGAGTTTGTTGACATTCCCTTATCATTCTATCCTATAGAAGCTTCCTTGAACTGTTGGAAAGAATGTGTATTCTGCATCTGTGTAATGAAATTCCTGTAGCTCTGTATTAGGGTCCATTTGATCAGTGGTATAAGTTAGCTCTTTTGTTTCTTTGTTGACTTTTAGTCTATTGATGTTAGTAGAATGTTGAAGTGTTCCACTATTATTATATTGGAGTCCATGTCTCCCTTTAGACCTATTAATAGTTGTTTTAAATAACCAGGTGGTCTGACATTGGGTGTGCACATATATAGTAAATATGTATTTACTACAGTTACTTCTTGGTGAACTTAATCCTTAAAGATTATGTTTTTCCATTCTCTCCTGGCCTGTAGGTTTTCTAGAGAGAAATTAGCTGTAAGTCTGATTGAAGAATCTCTATTGGTAACCTGTCTGTTCTCTCATCCATATTTTAAATTTTTTCTTATGTTTTGCTGTAGAAAACTTGACTGTGATATGCTGTGGTGTAGATTTTTTCTGGTCCTATTAGTTCTGTGTGCTTTCTGTACTTGGATATCCCTTTCTTTTCCATATTGAAGAATACATTCTTTCTTTGCATTTCCAGGAACTCCCAAGATACTTGTGTAGGCTGTTTAATAATGTTCCATAGGTATTTAGCACTGTTTTTGGTTTTTGTAGTTTCTTCTTCTTCTTTTTGTCTCAATGAGAGTCTTTAAAAGATGTGTCTTCAAGTTCAGTGATTCTTCCGCCTCTCCAAGTCTGTTGCTATTTTTTATTTGACATATTGCGTTCTTCATTTCTAACATTTCATCTTGTGGGGAAAGGTTTTGTTCTTGTTGTGTATAAGATTTCTTAATTCCTGCATTTGCTTCTCATTGTTTTTGAATAGCTTTATAATCATTCTTTAAATTCTTTTTCAGGCACCTCTTCAATCTCTTCATCTTTGCATTCTAAGATTAAAGTGTTTTTCTGTGCTCCTTTTAGTGAGTCATATTGTCTTCCTTAATCATGTTGCTTATGTATCTCCTTTTACTATTGGGCATTTCAATATGAACTTCTGGTTTTTCTCCTCTAATTTTTAACTTTGAAGTGTGTCTCTGTGGCTTAATAGGGTAGCCAGTCATGGACCTGTTTTCTTTTTCTTTTTTTTAAAAAGTTTTATTTATATTTATTACAAAGTCAGATATACAGAGAGGAAGAGAGATAGAGTACAATGGCCGGTGCTGTGCCGATCCGAAGCCAGGATCCAAGAACTTCTTCCAGGTATCCCACACGGGTGCAAGGTCCCAAAGCATTGGGCCATCTTTGACCGCTTTCCCAGGCCACAAGCAGGGAGCTGGATGGGAAGTGGAGCTGCCAGGAATTAGAACTGGCACACATATGGGATCCCAGGGCATTCAAAGCGAGAACTTTAACCCCTAGGTCACAGCGCGGGGCCCATGGTCCTGTTTTATTGACAGAACTTTCAAAATGTGTTCTCTCTTTGGGTTAAGTGGATGTCCCATGGTATGGTAGTCTAGTTGCTTGCTCACACAAACCCAGGCTGACATCCAGGTCACTGCTTTTTCAGAGTCCCCCACACTAATCTCGTGGCTCTGATGGTCAATCTGGGCCTCCAGCAAGATGACGCCCGCTTCCCTCCAATCTGTACATTCTGTAAGGGTAAGGAGAAGTGAGTTGTATATTCCTCTCCTACACAGACCTGCGGCAACATCCCTTCTTTGTCTAGGCTGGTGTTTGGTTTTCTATGTCAGGGAGTGTCACCTGCCCCTCTGTCAGCCATTCATCTCATCTTTCAGCTGAAGAACTCGGATCTCCAGTGGCCAGTCTCTCCACTGCCACACAGCCATGCTGTCTCTGTGTCCTCTGCAGTGTATCCACTGCCACTTCTGTGTAACTCTTGCCTGGGAATATACCTCATCCACCTCTGCCTCGCTAACACTTGCCATCCAAAATCAGGATGCCAATACCCTATTCATACAACTTAGAGCTATCACTTACTTCTTTAAGTATATATCTTATTTAATCTTTCTAATACCATATGAGATGGGTAATATCATTTGCATTTTTATAAATATGATTCAGAACGGGTAGTTTGTCCAAGTTCAAGTAAGTCATAGGTACAGAACTGTCTTCAGTCCCATTTAGTTGACAGTAAACTTGATTTTTTTTATTTAACAGCATCCTGCATTTCTGAACATATAGAACCAGAAATTATGTGTTTTGTTGATAGCAGTATCATTTAGCATCATCATAATGCTTTATTTGTATGAACAACCTAAATAAATGTATAATAGTTATAAAAGATACATACTTTTTAATCATACAATAATTTCACATATTGTAAAGGCTGCTGAAACATACTTTCTAATGTTATATAACTTATATAAGTTTATGTAAACAAGAAAAGTACTCAAATGTTGATGATGATTATTGTCATAATGACATTCTCTCAGTGAGCAAACTGTTCATTGTAAGTTAATTTTAGAATACATTCATCATTCTGATTGCTATTCATTGGATGAAAGCATAATGCAGCTTTTTTTTTTTCTTGGCAGCAACTTGAATTGGTGGAACCAAGTGGCTGGATACATGTTCCTTTAACTGATAATCATAAGAAGCCAACGCGCACATTCATGATCCAGATTGCTGTTCTAGCCAATCACCAAAATGGAAGAGATACCCACATGAGACAGATTAAAATATACACACCAGTGGAGGAGAGCTCCATTGGTAAATTTCCTAGATGTACAACTATTGATTTTATGATGTATCGTTCAATAAGGTGACTTTAAAATGGAACAGATGTCATTAAACGTATTTTTGTTTTATCCAGTTATTGAATATTATATCAAGTATCTTTATTAAAAAGGCCTCAGTTATTCTGCATTTTTGTAAACATTTAAACGTATTATACCTTTGATAAATATCAATTTGGATAAATTACCTTTTTTCTTTAATAAATAATGAAGGTCATGTATGTAAAAAGGTACTTGCTGGGAGGAATGTGGTGTGGAACCTGTTTGGAGTGCCCGTGTCCCATAGCAGAGTGCCTGAGTTCAAACCCAGACTCCCTGTCCTGTCCAGCTTCTTGCTAATGCTCACCCTAAGAGGCAGCAGCTGATTGCAGCAGTATGTGTATCTTTGTCCTCAAAGTAGGAAACCTGAGCCAAGTTCATGGCATCTGAATTTGGTCTAACCCTGACCAAACTATTTGGACATTAGAGGAGTGAACTAGTGGATGGACTCTCTCTGTCTTGCTATTTCTCTGTGTCTTTCAAATAAGTAAGTATTATTTTTAATAATAATAATCTTTTTAAAAAGTGAGTCTGGGGCAGACATTTGGTAGAACAGTTAAGATGTCCGTAGGAAGGACCACATCCCTGTTGGATTGTCTGCATTTGAGTCCCAGCTGTTTTTAACTTCAGTTTCCTGTTTGGGAAATGGTAGGTGATGGCTCAAGTGGTTGTATACCTGCTACCCACATGGGAGACAAAAATTGATTGAGTTCCAGGTTTTGGGCATTGGCCTGACCCAGTTCCTAATGGTGCCAGCAATTGGGGAATTAGCTAGCAGATAAAAGAGCTGTCTGTTTATATATCTTTTTCTCTTGCCACCTTTCAAATAAATTTATTTAAATAAATATTTTATTTATTATTATCATTTTATGATACAGTTCCATAGGCTCCTAGAATTTCCGTTACCCCTACCCAATCCCTCCCACCCCACTGAGTTCCCCTATATCATTACTCAAGTATAGTTCTTCATACATAGTCATATGTCCATCATTACCGGCATGGACAATGGCAGAGAGTCCAGCATCCTATTGTCAGGATTTAGTAAACAGTTTCATTTTAAGTCCATCTTTGTCTGGAAGCAGAAATGCATACTACACTGCATTCTCACATCTGGATATGTTAGTCTCCATTTCACAATTACTGTACATCCCCTCAAATGAAAAGTTGCAATACATAATCAACAACAGAAAGAAAAATAGAAATTTACAATGCCATGAAGTTAAATGACATGTTACTAGATATGTCAGTCTCCATTACACAGCTACTATACATCCCATTAAATGAAAAGCCACAAAACAAAATCAAGAACAGGAAGAAAAAAGAAATTAACAACACATTGAAGTTAAATAACATGCTACTGAATGACTGATGTGTCGCTGAAGAAATGAAAAAAGAAAATTAAGAACCTTCTTGAAGAAAATGATGCCACTGTATGATCTATGAGTCATTAACGAATTTAATCATAAGAAACTGTTTTGAAGAGGTGAAACTAACAAAAACAAATACATCAAAATCCATGAGATACAGTTTCCACTGATTTTTTTGTTGGTGAAATGTGTCTCCTGTAGGCAAGAAATGGGTTTTGTTTTTTAATCCAGTCTACTAATCTATGACTTTTGATTGGGCTTAAGCCATTTACATTAAGGGTTAATATGTATGAGTGGTAATTTGGTCCTGTCATTTTAGGAATGGGTTGTGAAAAATTTGGTCCTGTCATTTTAGGAATGTGCATGTGAAAAAATCAGTAGACATATAAAGGAATGCCAACTAAACACAGAGGAGACCTCTCACAGGAAACTCTACAGGCAAGAAAAGTGAGATGTTCCAGATTCTTAAAAAAATTGTCACCCCAGGATAACATATCCAGCAAAGCTTTCTTTTGTCTTTGAAAATGAAATAAAATTCTTCCACAGTAAAGAAAAGTTAAAAGAATTTGCCTCTTCCAAACCTGCCCTACAAATGACACTGCAAGATGTTCTCTTGACAGAGAAGAGGAATAGCACCCAACAAAACCAAAGGCAAACGGGAAGAACATCCCAGTAAAATGACAACAAAAGACTAAATCAAATAAAATTTTTAAAAATATTATTTTAGATGAACTTGAAGCCATTGTATTTTTCTTGAAAATCAAAAGAAATTCAGTTGGAATAAAAATTTGAGGATATACGTAACTTCCTACTAAACAGGTGAATATTTTTTTAAGATTTATTTTCATCTGAAACGCAGATATTACAGAGAGAAGCATGGAGGAAGAAACTATTCCATCCACTGATTTACTCCGCAAATGGCCACAATGGCCAAAGCTGAGCTAATTCACAGCTGGGATTCAGAAGCTTCCTCCATGTTGGGGCAGGAGCCCAAGGGCTTGGGCCATCTGCTGCTGCTTTCTCCAGGCCATAATTGGAGAGCTGGATCAGAGGTGGATCAGCTGGGACACAAACCAGTACCCACACAGGGGCAGATGGTTAGAATGCTCTATGAAGCTATGAAGCTCTATGCCTAGAAAACAGTGTAATGGAAAATAATAATTATTTAATCAAAAAAGCATTGTAGGGGTCTGGCACAGTGACTCAATTGGCTGCTGCTTCCCCTTAAAGCACTAGGATCCCATCTGTGTGCTGCATCATGTTCTAGCTGCTCCACTTCTCATCCAGCTCCCTGCTTGTGGCCTGGAAACGCAGTAGAGGATGAACCAAAGCCTTGGGACCCTGTACTTGCATGTGGGAGGCCTGGCGGAAGCTCCTGGCTTCAGATTGGCTCAGCTCCAGCTGTTGCAGCCACTGTGGGAGTAAACCAGTGGATGAAAGATCTTTCTGTCTCTCCTTCTCTCTGTAAATCTGCCTTCCCAATAAAAATAAATTTTTTATAAAGCATTGTTGATATGTAACTCAACAAAAAAGTTCTAATCAAAACTTACTTGTAACTACCATATTAAGTAAACTGTAGATGGGGACTGCCAAGGAGGATAGAACATTCTATTAAAAGAAAGCACATAGGGCTTGGCGCGGTGGCCTAGCGGCTAAAGTCTTCGCCTTGAACGCCCCGAGATCCCATATGGGCGCCGGTTCTAATCCTGGCAGCTTCACTTCCTATCCTGCTCTCTGCTTGTGGCCTGGGAAAGCAGTCGAGGACAGCCCAAAGCTTTGGGACCCTGCACCCGTGTGGGATACCCGCAAGAAGTTCCTGGATCCTGGCTTCGGATTGGCACAGCACCGGCCGTTGCGGTCACTTAGGGAATGAACCATCAGATGGAGGATCTTTCTCTGTCTCTCCTCTTCTCTATATCTGACTTCGTAAAAAAAATAATAATAATAATTAAAAAGGCAAACACATAGGTGTCCGCTAAAGGAAGGGAAAGGAATCAAGAAGATAAGAATAAAAATACAAACTAAGTGTTGATACTTCAGTCATACAAACAGTAGGGTTTAGTTGAAAATATATCTTAGAAAATCAAAGCTTCTATAAGCAATAATATTACCACTCTGATTTTTAAACATGTAAAGAAAAAGTAGGGGAAGTTCTAATCATTTGCATGACCCAGTCTGCTATTGGCTTACTAAGGAGCTTCTAGAATCAGAAAAGATTTTTAAAATGTGTCAAGAAAATACTATGGTTTTTGCTTCTCCAGTTCCCTAATTTTTATATGCCAGATGGCTCTTTCTAGGCATGGAAAATGCCTAGAAATTATAGATAAAAATTGTTATTATGAGGATCATTTAAAATATAGATAGAGTGTACGTTACATTAACAGCATAATTATCTATAGCAGTTGTGTTTCACTTTTTTTAGAAGATTTATTTTTTTTTATTAGAAAGCCGTGTATACAGAAAGGAGGAGAGAGAGAAAGATTTTCTGTCCATTGGTTCACTCCCCAAGTGAGTGCAATGACTAAAGCTGAGCCAATCTGAAACCAGGAGCCACAGGAGCTCCTCCAGGTCTCCCACCCCGGTGCAGGGTCCCAAGGATTTGGGCCGTCCTCAATTGCTGTCCCAGGCCACAAGCCAGGAGCTGGATTGCAGGCGGGGCTGCTGGGATTAGAACTGGCGCCCTTATGGGACCCCAGTGCGTGCAAGGCGAGGACCTTAACCACTACTCTGTTGCGTCGGGCCCCATGTTTCACTTTTAAAGATGCAAATTACGTATCCAATAAAAAATTTAGTTTTACAGAAACTAGCGTTGTGGCATTGCATTTTTTTTTAATTACATTGCATTATGTGACACAGTTTTTTAGGCACTGGGATTCCCCCCACCCCTTCCCCTATGGTGGATTCCTCCACTTTGCTTCATAGCCACAGTTCAAGTTCAGTTGAGATTCTCTCATTGCAAGCATATGCCAAGCATAGAGTCCAGCATCTTATTGTCCATACAAGTTCAGCCACCTCTTGTGGAGACCATCCCTGGTCTGAAGGTAGAATGGCATTGCATGTTAAGCACCATCTGCTATGCCATCATCCCATAGGAGTACAAGTTGCTTTCAAGCCTGGTCCCTGCTAATGAGCCTAGAGAAGTAGTGGAGGACAGCCCATGGTCTAGACCCCTACTCCTAGTTGGGAAACTGGAAGAAACTGCAGGGTCCTGGCTTTAGCCCTGCACAGCCATACAGCTATTACAGTCATTTGAGGAGTCTACCAGTGGATGGAAGTCCTCTCTTTGTCTCTCACTCTCTTTCTGTAAGCCTACTTTTCAAATAAATAATAAATTGTTAAAAAAAAAATAAATGTAGAATACATGAAGAACTCCTTACAATCCTAAAATAAGCCGGGAAATAAATATGATTTATAAGGGAGCAAAAACTGAATGGATTGCCAGAGAAGATAAATGATTGGCAGGTGAGCTCATGAAGAGATGTTCCACTTTAAGTGCATGTGACAGAACTGGGCCTTCTTGGTTGCTGAACTCTGTTCAGTGGACAACATGCCCGGATGCACATGGAAGACATGACAGGTCATTGAGGCCTGCAGAGAATGGCTAGGATCATGGAGGGCAGAACAAATTGGACAGTTCTCCAGGTCGAGATTTAACAAATCTCTGGGTGAGTGGAGACTATAAGGTGGACTATGTCAACCAATGGACCTTGGAGGAGTTTCTTCACCCTTCGAGCAATGAAATAAGCAATATCTCAGAACTACTGAAACCACATAAGCAGTATGCTTGGAACAAGCTCCATCCACATCGGGGCCCCT